TCTGAATCCTGTACGGATTTAAGCTTTTCATGAACTTTGTTCGTCAGGTACTTTGCGAAAATCTTGTAGATGGTTGGCAACAGGTTGATCCGTTTTCAATTTTCTGAATTATCTCCGTCTCGTTTTTGTGTAGTAGAAGCGCCTATGCAAAGATGTAGAATTTCCTTCAGGGAGCATGAATAAATTGCTCTTATGTCTTTGTTAATCACGTCCTGAATAAGCGAGAAAACTGTAAAACCTTTTTTTAGGAGCCTTAACTCTTTTCACCTGGTTCATGGCATGTTGCTCTTCTTCCATTTCAAATTTTTCGATATTTCTTCCTGTCACCTCTTGTCTCAGACTTTTCTCCTCTGCGGCGTTCCTTGTTTTTTCAGGATGCATTAATTGCCTCTATGTCGTCTTTCCCGACTGTCAGTTTTTCATGGTAATTGTTTATGCTTCCATTTTGTGCGCAGAATCACGAGGCTCATTTTTATTCAAGAAGACACAATTGAAATGAGTTGTAGAAATAATTTATATCATAAGGCTACTAACAATGATAAATATCTAATTCACTTCACATTTTTTCAACTATCAAAGATCTGTAGCTTTAATGCACAGAACTCTAAAACTTTGCTGTATTAATTTTATTAATAAGAAATAAAACATTTAATTTAAATGAACATGAGAAACAGTAAATCCCTGGAAACAATAGAGTAAATGCATTCACTGAATTTTGTCGTACTGAACCTTCATCTGCGGGAATAGGGTCTTCTAAATTGGCGTGATCCTCATGTTATTAACTTAAAAATCCATTTGTCACATTTTCTCAAATTTGCGCAGTAATATCGTCAAAGGGCAATATATAAATTAATATTCTTTAAAGAGATGCCATACCCTAAAAATTTAAGTGTTACTTTGAAATATGAATCATGCGTCATCTTTCTACTTTACCGATGATGTTGAACTGTTTTGTTAACACTCGTTCGTTTCTAATTTAGATTGATTCCTGTCGAGAGCAAGTGAAGAACCTACAGCAACAAATTGATGAAATGAATGAAATGATTTGTACTCTGAAGCGCGAGAAACAAGAAAAGGACTTAGTGATTCGTTCGTTAAAGCATGACCGACGGCGCCATATGGAGGAAGTCATGCAGCTAAAGTAGGATATTCTCGGTTTTTGTTTCTAGCCGTTGAGGTAATGGTCGAAAAAGTGTCTTTCATAGATGACCAGAAGTTGACATTTTTATATCGCTTATTACAGTTATCAGTACATATGGCTAATCCCCATTCACACCGGATTAATCGTACAGTCCTCACATTTCTGGTACTTTCCTAAAGGACCTTTTAATTGGGTCATGACTCCATATTATTGTATCTTAGTATCTTCAGTGCATAAGTGTTAAACCGCATCACTGTGTTGAACTGCACAACAACTTGTTCGATATGTTAACCATTTTTTCTAGGTTAATTTGTAACCGAAAAACATGTTATATTCTGATCCTGTCCTTTCAGGTAATCTTAGGTGTTATGTTGCAATATGTATCTTCCATTCTTACACTGACTTTTCTCTTTTTTCTTCTGACTCTCTTCCCTTTGATGCTACATTGTGTTTCCTTGTTTTGTGCCTTGTTCTTCACCAAAATTGTTGTTTCTGTACATTATGTCATACTGCGTTGACAAATCTGTATGATGGTCAGATCGATGTTCATCAGCTTTAGTTCCATCTAACATAGCTAGCTAATGGTAATTCTCGTATTACAGTTTAGACGTTCTTTTATTAATGTGGAATAGATTCATCACATGCTGTGGAATGTCTTAGCTAACAACAGCAATGAACTGTTTCTCGGTTTTTCTTCCGTAGTCGTTTTAAAATATCAGTGATGACACATATACGACGAGGGACTTCGTGGTTCTGTTCATGAGTCTGGTTGGCATTGAACAACATAATATGTTATTTAAATTTTAGGGAAGAGTCCTTACTGGCGGCAATCGGTGAAAAGGACGCACACATCGCCTTGCTGGAAAGCACGCAGAACGTGAACCCAGGCGAAGTGGAAACAGTTAGACAACATAAAGAAAAGCTATTGCAGAAACTGAAAGAGGAAAATGCGCAGCGAATGAAGTTTATTAATGAAAATAAAGATGACGATGTCAATCCTTCAGCTGATCAGGTGCTAAATGCCTTTTCGCGTTATTCTATCCTATATCTAATTGCATTGTCTAGTAAATGGCACAAATGTGAGATGAGAGTACTACCTTGTCACATATTCGAATATCACTGTAATAATTTTGTATAGCATAACAGTCTGCGAAAGGTGCGAAATGGTACAACACGCTGTAAGCGGTGCAATGACTTGTGCTCATGGAGCATGAGTATATTCGTCTAATCATTCTCCTACTTCCCTGACGCTAGCGAACCAGTGTCAGAAGTCATTTTAGGTTTTACTAAATTATCTGCGTTTTTCGCGCGTTTCATACAACCGATGACCCTCTGAACCAACAATCCCATGGTGAAGTTATTACCAATAAAAAAATTATCCAAATGCGGATCACGTTGAACAGCATAGTTTTAGAACTTGACACGCCATGCGCACTAACATCGGTTGCCACGAAGAGAGGTTTAGCTAATGGTGGTAGATCAACACATTACTGTAGGTAACAAAAGCACATATATATTTGTTAACTTTTTGAGCATTGGTGTATCATTATCAAACCGTTTTCAGAGCATTTTAGCACCGTCCCGTTTGCTCCAAAAATTGCTTACCTAACCAAATTGCTGACCTTACCATTGTCACGCCACTTCGAACTGTTTAACTACTTGGAGTTCATGATTACCTATTGTCTCGTGTCTTTGTCTCGACCAGTATTTGAGTCGGTATCAGCAAAGTTACAAATGCTGGTTTTTATACGTTTCCAAATATGTCGAACACATGTCTTCGTTCCAGTGGTTACAACAGGCAGTTACTTCACTGGATGTTCTACGGGAGGAGGGGGATTCAGCTTTGAGTATAACGCGTTTTTTTGCACAGTTGTCACGACCTTTTGCATAATCGAAAACTATTTTTTTTCTCAGCTTCCACCAACATTTGACTGCATTTTTTCAGGTTTTCCTTGGGTAACCTGTGTAGGGGAATGCTTTTGTCTGTTTCTTACCGTGCTTCCGTTAAAAGTAGTTTTGCGTTCGTAGTTACGGCATCAAATACAAATCCGATGCTCATAGCTCATAATTCATGAAAAGATCATCATGCATTTTTTTGACTTTCTAGCATCACTTATCTCTCTGATGTGTCGAATATTGAAGGTATATTTTGCTTGTAGTATGTGACTCCCTCTTTGGATCGTAAAATTGGATACGGACCTGAAACGCGTGGTTTAAATGGATTGCGTTCCATTGTTCAGAGTGTTTTAGCGTAGCTGTCGTATATCACTTGCCTGTTATAATTCTACCCAGTGCGACTACAACTGAATGGAGTCATTTGAGCAGGCTACTGTGTCATGGTAATTAGATGCCTGTGATGCATTTTTGCACCTGTGCCACTGAGTACTGTTTCTTGTAGCATCACTAATGGTATTCAGCATACTGCTGTGGCCAACGAAATGACGCGCGCTAATGTGACAGGGTGTATGACCCTGTGTAAATATTTCTTTTAGCTTGAACAACGTGGCGCATGACAACGGAGAGTGCAATTTTGCTTATTTGCAGTTCTTGAGTTCTTCGAGACCGAATCTGTATATCAGTCAGATTCACGCATTTGCTTATGATGTATGTTTTAGGATGATGACGCTGAAGGAATTTGGGCATGAAAAGTTCGCGAGCGATTGTAGTCATAATATCTTTGGATGCCGTTTTTGCAGCAATATTTATTTACCTCTTATTTACCGATCTTCTTCGAGTAAGTGATTTATTTGTTTTGACTTATCCGTACGAGCTTTTTCTTTTTCTCTCGCCTTTGTTGCACAAAGCCGCATATCCAGTTCCAACCCGCAACTTACTTACCTCAGCATTCATTGATCGGCGGTTTGACCTTCCTTTTTCGAAGTATTCGCAATTATTCCTTTTCAGTGTTTGGCAGCAACGGCTATGTACTTAGGATTATATGCATGTGAAATTTGGATTCAGTCCATACCAGTTGCCCTACTGATTCGTCTCACAGTGATCATTTGAACTGCATTTATGATCCATCATCGCTGAGCATCGATGAAACTTGACTTAGCTTTAATCATAGTGGATCGGAATATTTCACGTCGAACGTTGTTGTTGTCCATTTCGATTCCGCTCGATCACTTTCATCAATTTATCATCATTGCTAAGCACTAGTCCGAATAATGTCAACTCGTCCAATTGCTTAAGTGCTTCACCGTTTATTTGCAAAGTGGTTAAGCGATCGAAAAAGACACTAGGCCATTGGTTTTAAACACGTTCATACGCATGCCGTTGATCTCACATTTATGTGTAATCTTTTAAGGCCGTGCTGGAAACTTTTATCGAACATTCCAGCGAAACAAGGTCGTCTGCAAGAAGCAAGCACTTCTCCTTTCCACATTTCAAACTCTGATGCACTCGTCGGTAAAGTTCCGCCTTCGCAGGCAACAGATCCCTTCCTTAGCGGTTATCAGTACCAACGTTGAACTGTCTTGACTTCATGTCATTTACTTTGACTCAGCAACTCCTAACAATTGATATACGGTCTCATATTTCAGCATACTGGCTGTTGATGTTCAGTCCGATCATCGACTATTTCAAGTTTTACCTAGCAAATATATCCCGGATGAGCGAATTCGTACGATTTCTCGACGGTCTGGCGTAGAATGAAGATTTTCGACCTTGCAGTCACTTCTTAGGCCACACCTCGTTTCTGACATTTTACTTAGAATTTTCCACGGAGACAAATAAGGTGACGGTCCGCTGAATTAAGTACCCAGAATGATCTGCGTTCTTGAGCTAACTTACTAAACTGATGTTCTTCATTCTACTCATATGCTTCCGGTACTCACTGCAGCTTCACAGACAAGTCTTATGAACTCATGCTTTGTTCGCCTAAAGCTTTAAGTATTTGAGTATGGATTCCATCGATTCTAGCAGCTTTCCTACTTTTCAAACTTATTTAAAACTTTTACTTCATCTGCTGAAACACTTACCGTTACCTGACGCTCTTCAAGTGAGTATTCCTGCAACTGCTTGAGTTAATACGTTCCTTAAACTGCCATCTGCGTTGCCATAGTATATTCTCTTCACTGGTAAGAAAGCATCCGTACCTGTCCTTCAGGACTCTAAGGCTACATTTCTTTTCATATTGCAGGCGGCGGATCAACTCTTTACGCATCTTGTTTCCGGTGTAAAGTTCGATTCCAGCACCTCTGCAAACTCTCCGCCCAGTTAGTTTTCTCCCAAACTACTTTTGCTGCCCCCTTTGATGCTTCTTACTGCTTTTAGTTGAAGGCACTTTGTGATTTAATATCACCTCTTCAATGAGATTTTTTCTCGCTACTAGCCAGGGAGGTGTATTTCTCATGTCTATCAAGAAATTCGTTTCTGACCTCCAGGCGGTATGCCAGCCAGTTTTAAACCGTAAGATTCGGCGGCACCCCTGAATAATGCGCTTCTAAAGAGCCCCCACTCAGTTTCCACATCGACGCAGAAATCTGTTCAAACCGTCGTGCGAAATTGTTGGCAAATTTCCGCTGAGATTTGCGTCTATTAACGCAAAAAACAAACATTTCAAAGCGTTGTAAAGTCAGAAGATTATCAAATTGATCAGCGACTTATGCGCAGAAGCTTCCCTATACCAAGTATACTGGTGCAAGCCTCGATGCCCGAAAAAGGTGTTCATAATAAACGGTCCGTTCTTTGCACAAAATCGCCCCAACTTCATACCGCTATCGTTCTTTCCAATCATACCTTTTCATTTTTCAGTGTCGTATTAAAATCGTCCATTATAGTGATGGGTTTCGTGGTTGGCATTCCGTTCACTGATAAGTTTGCTTTCTGTCGAAATAGCAACACGGGCTTTAACGCGTATTGTGAAGTCCAAATGACACCTGAGTATAATATCTTCTCCCCCAGAGGTTCAGTATCTAGAGCGTTGGCGCTTCCTTACCAGCAGTGCACTTGTATGCATTTCGTGCTTTGCTACTTGTTCAACTGCTGCTATTGTTTCTTGCCTCTGGGTGAAGGGATGTTCCAATTTCCGACTGTGAGCTATAACCGGTCGGTATCCTATTGTTTTGATGAAACCTTATCTGACGTGCGATACTGGCGTCACACTGCCTACTTCATCTGTTCAGAATGAGTAGCGACTCTGCCTCTGTCATAATCTTCATCATCTTCGCAAGATCGTTTTCAGCCATCGCCGTCGTGCTAACCCTTTGTGTAACTTTCCATGTTTTTATTTTCGGTATGTCTAAGTTTTATCGGCGGGCTTTGCTTCTCTCTTCCAGCCACCGTTGTCATACAGATTTGGGACGAGTAACGGCGGAGTTTCTTACAGTTTACCTACAGTATCCACAAAAACGTAGCAGACTATATTTTGGAAGTTATTTCGATTTCGTTTCGTTGCTTTTCTAAGATTTTATTTAGCATTTTTCCCGGTTTATGGAACTTCGTCTGAAGTCGATAGCGAAGCCTAGTTCACTATTTCTTTCGTCCCAAAGGTGCAAGTACGATCATTTTTTTCTTATCAGGACGTATGCTGCGCATTCCTGTATGGACCCGTAAAAATGGTTGATTGTTTGTTCTTGTGTCATTAGAATCACGTTCGCTCTGCTCCTTCGTTGATTGCGTCTCAGAAATATTTCGACGTGATTATTCAATTGAGTATCAATGGCCGGTGAAGTTGAATGCTGTTTTGAACTTAAGTACTTTCACGTTGTAACTCTTTTGCAGTTGTTCCCTGTTACGCATGCCAATGCGTTTATCTGTGCAGTTTATTTGTTTCGAAAGTTTCATCTAAAGTTAGTAGCGCTACTGCCGTTTTTAGTTTTACTAGTATTTGATGAAATGAACTCTTGATCTCTCATTTATCTTTGTTCATATTTCTGTTGATACTAATATTTAATAAAGATTTCGAAGTTTCTTCCATTTTACGTTTTTTTCACTTTATTGTATTTTGGCACTGTTTGCTTCGATTGCATTGAGTTCGCACTTTTGGACGGTTTTCCTTGCAAACGATTCTCAGACGCCAGACCAAGAGGTGCAAACTCGTTACGTCTCGCTTTACTGTTGCGTTTTCGATGGGAGTTTCATGGTACGAAGGGTGTCTGTAAAAGTTTCACCAACTGGAGTTTCAGGGTGTTGCTCTACCCAACGCCAGACAGCGTTGGACGCCAAGGTCAGCAAGCGGTCATCGAAATCGAGCGATACTTGGAAAGAATTGGTGCCTACCGTGTTTCAGCGTTCTCCGTCGACTCTGAGTTGTATTATCCAGCAAACATTGCAAGTAAATGAATTTATGTCTCTTGAAGTCAAGCTGACAGTCACGACTGCTTCCTTTCTTTATGAAAGTGTTTGTAATTTTTCGTATAAAGTCCACGTTTGTTCAAATTATTATACGCTGTTAATATTTCATAAACCCGATTAAAGGCGATTTTCACGTTGTCCCCTGACAAATGCATTTTTACGCCGTCATTAAACGGCTTGTAACCATCAATTTAATTTATACTATGACCACAGCACGTACATTCTAAGGAAGTATTAATTCCGTTTCGTTTCCGTTGTGTCGAAATATCCAATACCTACTGTTTTTATGCCCTTGGCATACGATACGCTTTAAAATGTGGGATACCTCATGCTTATCCTTCATTTTCCCTCGGTTTTCTCTATTCTTTGCTATAAAAATGTGGAATTCGCTTTATCGCTTGAAGTCTCTTGTTATTTCATCGACATGAATGGAGCAGCATAGCCGAATAACGCTTCTAAAATCGTATAGCTGATTTATCTATCTAATGATTATTATGTTCAGATTTTACTTCCCTATTATACATATTATTGAACTTATTATATCATAATCTAGGGTTATACTTATTCGTTGATTTTCGGAAAGAAATATTTATCACACTTAAAGAAGTGGGCTTTTCTCCGTTTTGGGACGTCATTGTCTTTTACACAGGTAAAGGTAAGTTTTATAAAGAAACCAGTATACGTTTTGAGCTCTTTTCGTTTTGTACAATTCAGCTGATTAGTTGAATGATCGAAATTCTACTGTATTTATCATTCCGTTGTCCTTAAATTTCTACATCATCGACGTTTACTTTGTTATGACAGCAATTATCAGATTTAAATGTGACTTAAAGTTTTACATTAGCTATGAACTCATCTCCTGAATTCTGTATCGGGATTCGCTAATGAGGCAGTAACATTCAGGGATGATTGAACAGTTTAAGCATTTAAAACAAATTTTCCGAGGGGAAAATTGCCCCAATTGGATAATGTCTATATTTCGTATTTTTTTACACAGCCAGTACAAATAACATCGCATTATTTGATCTTCAATGCACAGTATCAGTACGAGTTAAAGGAGTTCGTGCTCTACGCAGTTTGATCATTACAGTACATCAGTGCAACAGAAAGTAAACTTTGTAATGGCTGGAAATCTTTGTTTGTTACACTTTCATGATTGAGATACTTCAGGTGTCCCTTGTAAATGAAGTTAATTGTAGGGTGCTATCTTCACTTCCATGCCATCAGCCACGAGTGCTTTATTTTAAGCTTTTAGAGTCGACAACAGCTGTGTAGCTTGCATCCGGTTTGGTCCAGTGTTTCGTTCGCACAGACTGGTACTCACCTATCAGTCTGGGAAGGATAAAAAGTGTGATCCGATCTGAACTCGAACCTTCACTTCTCGGTTCTGAGTTCAATGTTCTACCGACTGAGCATCCCCGCTCTGTGCATGCAACAGTGAAACGCCTACTTGAGCATTAATTGTGTGCGCACCTGCCTTGAATTGTTTCCCATTTTAGTCATGGCTCGAATTTGTCGTTGTTGGTCCAGATTTGGTCCTGATGTACAGATGCTCTATTCCGTGTAGCCGTGGTTTGTGTAGATAGTCGTCTTGACAACCGGAAGTAGTAACGAAGCCGTCACGTTGTGAAACTGCGGCAAAATGATAAAAGATCATCCTAAGCATAAAGCTGGACGAACTAATTAAAAGCGACATGCACATTAATCACTGCATGCTTGTTGAAATTATTACAATGTTCCGGAACAAATTCAAAATACCATTGTATTAGTAAGGTAAGAAATTGTGCACTAGCGAGTTTCATCCTTGCTTGTTGAACAAAGATGGTCAGGACAATGTTTAGAAACATTATGTCATCATCATTGCTGAGTAAAAAATATTTTGTCTCTTACTGCCTTTTTGATTTTCCTTCCTACTGAAAATAAGATGCATTTTCACTGAGCCTCTTTTGTCAAAAATTTTGACTGCCCCTTGCGTTATGCAGCGGAGAGTGAGGTGTAGTTGAACATGATATTGACCATGTCAGGATGATGTATAATTACGCCAAAGTGCGAACATCAATTTGCCACGGTGTCTTGTTGCTAATGCGTGGTCACATACCAGTTGATCACTTCCACTGATTCCACATCGTCGATAGATTTCAAATACGTGTTAGCTTTGAAGTAGCTAATGCGAGGAATGACTGCATTTTCATGGACTATGCGACGGAAGTGCTGGAAGATGCAGAAATCCAATTTTCACCAATGGATGGAAAATTCTGCAGGGCTTAATGGTGTTACTATCATCCAGGAGGAGCGCATACGTCGTTGTATAGCGTTTTTCCGACCAGTGCGTTTAAAAAAACTTGCACTATTTATTATACGTCGAATTATATTAAATTCTTTGATGTAGCTGTCTTTGTTCTAAAAGTGGACAAGCTTTATTTTCGTATATTTAAATGAACTTCATTTCTGGAAACGTTTTCCTTGTTTTTTTGCGTTTTGTGCCTTGTTATATCTGCTTCTTTTCCGCAACATCAGAAAAGACACGGCGGTTCTTGAAATTGTTGTAGTTTTACGTTTTGATTTCTTACAGATTTATCTCAAACTATTAGTTGTCTTAATGCCATTGTTTTCAGTTTTATGATTTGAAAAATTAACCTCTATATCTTCCGCCTCCTGATCTGAGGACGAAACTGCCACAGAAAATATTGTAGTATCGGAACACATTTATTTAAGGTTCGAGGTGGCCAGATCTAACAAGGTTGTTACCAGGAACCCAATACTTTCTGGAAGAACGAAAAATAAGGGGGT